TGACAACACCAAGCCAAGGGTTGAGATCCCCTTACCGGTCATCTTTTTAAAAAAAACAAAACAAAAATACCCCAAAATAGTAGCCAATAACCACGTGTCTATTGAGCACTCGAAATGTGGATAGGGCGTGCTCACTTCAGCAGCACATATACTAAAATTGGAATGATACAGAGAAGATTAGCATGGTCCCTGCGCAAGGATGACATGCAAATTCGTGAAGTGTTCCATATTTAAAAAAAAAAGAAAGAAAGAAATGTGGATAGTGCTATTGAGAAACTGCAATTTTAATTTCATTTGATTTTAACTAATTTAAATTTACATAGTCATGTGTGGCTAGTGTCTACCACACTGTAACAGCCACATGTGGCTAGTGAAGGTGCAAATCGGACCTTCTTTTAGACAAGGAGCATATCTGTGTCTTTGCTAGCAACTAGCATGGTACCTATGACCTCACAAGCAAGTAACAATTGTTCATAAAAAGTAACAGTATTTTTCCCTCAAAAAGGAATGCTTCTGGGATGGAGGGATGATATGTAAAGTGGATCTGGAAGGTTGGATTATAATCTGGACAGGAAGGTTCATAAGGTGAAATCGATCATGCCAAGGAGAAAAAAGTAATTCTGGGCAGAATGAATAGCACCTGCCAAACCATGAGGCTAAACTTACTGATCTTACAGAGGTAGTGTAGCATAGTGGTTAAGGGCATGGATTCCAGTACCTGCTACCTGGGTTTGAATCCCAGCTCTATCACTTTAGCTGGGTGACTCTAGGAAAGTTGTTTAACCTCTCTGAGTGTCAGTTTCACCATTTATAAAATTGGGATAATAATAGAATCAAATGCCATGCAGTTGTTACAAGGATTAAATGAAGTTACCCCATGTGAAGTGTTGTTTCATGCTATTGTGAAACTGTGATGAGACCCCATCAGGAAGTGTGAGGGCCAGCGCTGTAATTTTAAGTTATAAATAACTCTTATCTGCTCTCTTAACAGGGATGCTTAGTTATGAAACTATAAATGTCTGAGTTGCAAAACCTGATGATAACCTCGTTTGGCCATCAACGTGAGCAACAGAGCGACATCTGACAAGAAACCTGCTGGACTGTCAAGCCACTGATCAAGGCATCTGTGGTTTCATGATGTCCTATGAGGTCCATCCAGGAAGGAAAAACAAACAGCAACCATCCTCTTCATGCTCACTCAGTTTTATGCTATTTCAGTCCCACCCTGGAGATGCCAAACATGAGGGCAAGAAATAACCATTCCAAGTATCATCAGACTATCCTGAATCCATTAGGGACATGGCTTTGTAACAAGTCACATCCCTATCTTTTAGGGGGAAAACATTACCTTTTACAAATTATTATTCTTTTTTTTTTTTTTTTTTTTGTCTTTTTCCGTGTCTGGCAACGGATCGCAACCCTCAGTGTCGCCCCCGTACCGGACCGGGACTGGCAACGGGACCGCAACCCTCGGCGTTGCCCCCGC